TTCTTCGAGCTATATGACCGGCCCACTGCCACTTCAGCTTACTAATCCGTTGGGCTATGTCGGTTACTCTGGTTCTACTGCGGATATACTCATTTCTAAGTTTATCACGCAGAGAAACTCCGAGCATAGCCCTCTCCATAGCTCGCTGAGCGACCTTGAGCTTCCTCATACGGCCAGCAGTGAAGGACCACGTCTCAGTTCCGTAAGTCATCGCTGGCAACACGCACTGGTTGTACAATTTCGTTTTAAGGTTTTGAGGTATGTCTGACGAGAAGATGTGTCGTAGCTTCCCGAACGCTGCCCAGCCGAGTTGAATCGATTGACCTCTCGGTCGAAGTTGGACTTACCTAGTCGGACTATTTGTCCCAGGTAAACATACTTGTCAACAACTTCCAGCTTAGTGCTCCCAACAACTACCGGCATAGGTGTGACATGGACATTAAACATAATCTTTGTTTTGTCCATGTTCATCTTAAGACCTATCCGTTGGGAGACACTATTGAGGTCATTGAGCATAGTGCTTAGGTCCTCCAGCGATTCTGCCATAAGGATTATATCGTCGGCAAATCGAAGGTGAGTGATGTACTCGCCATTGATGTCAATACCCTATCCTTTCCAGTCCAGAAGTTTGAAAACGTCTTCCAATGCAGCGGTGAAGAGTTTCGGGGATATAACATCACCCTGTCTTACACCTCTCTGCAATTGGATAGGTTTCGTACTCTGGTTCTGTACTCGGATAGTCATCGTAGCTCTACTGTACAAACACTTCAGCACTTCGATATACCGACAGTCAACTTGGCACCGCTGAAGGGACTGGCAGCACCGCCCAAATTTCGACGGAATCAAAGGCTTTCTCATAGTCCACATACGCCAGACATAGTGGCAAATTGTACTCTTCGGACTTCTGTACAATTTGCCGAAGGGTATGTATGTGGTCTATGGTGCTAAAGCCCTTTCGGAAACCGGCTTGTTCGGGAGGCTGGAAGTCGTCAAGTCTGCGCGCGAGACGATTCGTAATGACTCTCGAAAACAGCACGTAAACGCGGCCCAGAAGGGAAATCGGTCTGTAGTTCTTTAAGAGAGCGTTGTCACCTTTCTTGAAGAACAAGACCACCGCACTTCTGCTCCACGCCTCCGGTGTAATGCCACCATGGAGGACGGAATTAAAGAGCTTCTGAAGGACTTCAAGTACCGGTCTTCCACACGCTTTCAGAAGCTCCGCTGAAATTCCATCCTCGCCTGGGGCCTTGCCGTTTTTAAGGTGCTGGAGAGCCATTCTAATCTCGCTCAGACTGACGTCCGGGATATCTTCGGAATAGTGTCGGATGAGACTCGCTCTTGGATCGTTACTCACACTTGCGTGTGGCTCCAACGATGACGTGTACAGCTGCCCATAGAACCTCTCAATCTCAAAAAAGCTTTTACAAAAATTTACTTCGCAAATATCCGCGTTATAAAATAAAATGATGTGTCTTACCTAGTATGAAGAAGCACCTCCCGCGCTCCCTCAATTGCGTGCACTAACCCCGTCACCACTAATCCCAGCACCGCTACTCCCAACACCACTACACTAGGCAAGACACACCACTGACGATAATACGACACGTGTTTCGCCTCTACACGAGGCATCCTCAGGTGATATAGACTCTACGGTGGCTAACCGCTAAGTAGCGGTTAGCGGTTAGCCACCGTAGAGTCTATATCACCTGAGGATGCCTCGTGTAGAGGCGAAACACGTGTCGTATTATCGTCAGTGGTGTGTCTTGCCTAGTGTAGTGGTGTTGGGAGTAGCGGTGCTGGGATTAGTGGTGACGGGGTTAGTGCACGCAATTGAGGGAGCGCGGGAGGTGCTTCTTCATACTAGGTAAGACACATCATTTTATTTTATAACGCGGATATTTGCGAAGTAAATTTTTGTAAAAGCTTTTATATAATGGATTTCCGCAAAGTAACGCCTGATTCTATTAATTCTCTCAATCTCACTCAAAATCTCAGGTTTCCCGGAAACGATGCTGCCACATTCGGTCTTCAGCTTTGACAGTTGGCTCTTTCTGGCACACAGATCTCTGGCAAAGACTTTGGAGCCTTGGTTCCGCTCGATCGCTTCTTCAATACAAGCTGTATTGAAGTTGCGTAAGTCGCGCCGCATGCATTTGGAGATCTGTCTGTTCAGTTGCCTGTATGCTGTCAAATCTGTTGAAGAATGTAGCTTCATCTCTCGTCTAACAGCCATGAGATTAAGAGTGTGATCGGAGAGTTTTTGTGTTCTTCTGGGGCGGGTCTTGCAGAACTTAGCTCCGACCGCATGGACAGTTTCCACGAGCTTGTCATTCATATCGTCCACTTCATTGCAGTCTTCTAGGCACTGAAAACGGTTTTGTAACTCGAGCTGAAAGGTTTCGGGACTTTGGAACAGAGCACGAGTGGGACGGAGCGTTGACTTCATCAGACGCAACCTCTCCAACTTAACGTTTAGGTTCAGTGTGCCTCTAACCATTCGGTGATCGCTACCAGTTTTCACCCTCGCGATCACGGAGACATCACTGAACAGTTGTCGTCTGGTCGTCATAATGAAGTCAATCTCATTTTTTGTCGAACCGTCGGGGTTCACGTCGGGTTTTTAAGTACTCTGGTGTTTAAATCCCGAGACGTTGATGCGTCAGCCCAGGCCCGGTAGCACTCCTGCTTATAGCGTGAAGCTATTTTACAGGAGCGACCAAACCATGGCTGGGATCTGCCTCCGATGGGCACCACAGAGGATGGAATTAAAAGTTCCATACCCTGAAGTACCACATCAGCAACAGAATCGGCAACAACGCTGGGATCTTCCGGCGAGAAGCAAACCCGCCCCCAAGGGTAGGATGCAAAAAAAGACCGCATCCCGTCCCAACCAGCTGACCTATAGTGCCAAACACGGCGGCAAGCTGCAGATCGCAATTGCGATTGGAGCGTGAGTGGTACCGTGCTCCGGATCAGACAATGATCCGAAGAGCCCAGAGGGACATCGACGGAGACCTGATATCCGTCCGGATGAGAGGTCAGCAGAAGGTCCAACAGGGAAGGTACATAGTCTTCCACATCTGGGATCCCCGTAGGCGAAGTAACCAGTTGTGTTAGACCATATGCCAAAACAAAGTCGTAGACAGATCTACCCGCATGATCGATTAAACGAGAACCAAGCCATTCAGCGTTGTGGGTGTTGAAATCACGATCTCTGCGGATGGGACCTGTTGTAGCACGGAGTCTGCAGCCATTTGGACGTAGTCGATGAGTCGGTCTGTGTCGGCATTACCGCTATGGGACCTATAGAGGCACCCGTAGACGCGGGGATGGTCGTCGCTGTCTACGCGCAGCCATAGGATGGACAGGTCCGTACCTTCAAGGCTGCCGAGGGTCGAAAACAGATGTCCTCTCTAACGTATACACAAACTCTAGCCCGGGGCACAAAGGAGTGTTCCAATTTGTATCCGGGGTATGAGAGATATGAAGTATCAGCCGGAGAGGACACCTGAGCCTCGGTTAAAAAGAGCAAGGCCGGCTTCGCCGTCTCTAGATGGTAATTAAAGTCTTACACTTTACTTTTACACTTTACTTTACTTTTTATAAATCACTGTTTAACTATCAATAATTTTTTTGTCAAAAAGTACCTTATTGTGGCTTAAGTTTAAGGAACAGGCATATGATATTGCCGATTTTTTTAGATGAAGTAAAGATCTACATTTTGGTGAAACATTGTATTTACGTACTCGTATCACTAACAATTACGCCAGCGCACGCTAATAAACCATTCTGCTTTTTCTTCTAACTCGCTTAACAAAAATCAATATTTAAGGATAGCTGAGATGTGTATCCTAATGTTAGATAGCCTATACTATTTCTCATGAATCTGGTAGTTCCAAAGATTAGCGTTTAAACAAACAAAAAATCAAAAAACTCTTCCGCTTTATTATATGACTGTATAAAGTGTTGACGTTTCGTAAATAATTAAATATATGAAGTTAAAAATTTGGTGAGGTTATGTTGACATCTGATTCGAGAATATATACACTGTAGTCTCATGCCTACACGTTTACATACATATACATATGTTGAACGTGTACTTGGCGTGAGACACTACAGTGTCTCCGGACCTAATGTTAGATAGCCTATACTATTTCTCATGAATCTGGTGGTTCCAAAGATTAGCGTTTAAACAAACAAAAAATCAAAAAACTCTTCCGCTTTATTATATTAGTATAGATGGAGAATACTAAACTTACCCCTGTAGCCCGGGGGCCCCATATCATTGATACGGCTGATACGGCGGTAGCTACGCCCCTGTCGCTATGTACGCGCAGCCAAAGGATGGACAGGTCCGTACCCTCAAGACTGCCAAGGCGTCGAGAACAGATATCCTCTCTGACGTATACGCAAACTACGGCCCGGGCTTCCAAAGAAGTGTTCTAATTTGTACCCCGGGTAGGATAGGTACGAAGTATCAGCCGGAGTGGATACCTGCGTCTCGGTTAGAAAGAACAGGGCCGGCTTTGCCGCTTCCAGATTTTTTTTTTGTAATTGGGCCTCCGGCCACCTGCACTCACCAAGCGCGACGCAGAGGTGAACCTCTACTTCACGCTGGTATTCTGTGAGGTCGTGGACCACCCCGGTTCGAGCTGGCCCATCCGTGCGACAGCAAAAGCTACCGCTTCGCTCTACCACTGTTGAACACTGTTAAACAGTGAAATTTGATGAATGATAGAGGATAATGCCATCTAGCGGAACTCTTCCGAACACTTATTATGTATGTTATACATACAAATAAATAAAATTGAAGCTTTTTACTAAATGCATATATGAAACTATATATACGGTGGTTATATTAAAAAAACAATTTTTAATTTGGTCTGTCTGTCTGTTGTTCCAGCTAATTTCCGAAATCGCTGGACCTATTATGACGGCACTTTGACTGGCGGATAGGCGATGTTATAAGGAGTAACTAAGGGTATTTTTATTTTATGTACCTTTTTGCAGCGCGGGCAGCGCAGCGGGCGCGCGGCGGGCAGCGGCGGCGGCGGCGGCGGCGCCCCGCTCTCCGCCGCCGCGCTCGCGTGCGACCTGCACCACCACCTCATTGTCTTACCACTTAACCAATCCTAATCATCCAAACCATGTAATGGCGCATAGCGAAAGAATATACACTACCCCATATCATCCCATGGGTGTCGTAAGAGACGACAGAGGGAAACAAATGAGATGGGTAACGTCTTCCAAATATCCCCCTATGAGACAGTCTATGGGAAAGCATATGTTCAGCAGTGAATTTTACAAGCTGATAAAGGGAAAAAGAAGATGGGTATGTTTGTAAGTGCATGTTGCATGCACATTGGGCATTGTTCCAGCATCACTTAACATGTATACAATGCTTGATGCTTTCTTTGTTTAACTGAAACCTAAATGGACTCCTCGAGGGAAAAGAAACAGAATTCTATATAAGTAGTTCATAGACTCTGGTAGCAACATGACACTACAATCAACAAGAAGAATTATTTGATGTAAAATCTTTTCAAAATGAAATATAAACTGCATGCAAACAATCTAAATTGGATCCCACCACTACTAATTAAATTGTTAATTGCAAGTTTAAGTGCATGTGGTGTGCTTGAACATGAAATAAAAGATTTTGACGAAATCTGCATATCTGAGAAATTTCAAAGACAATAATTCTGCCAACAGGCACTGGATCAGTACAGGGAACATACTGTTCCATAGCCTTTTCAGAAATAAGAAGAGGCCTGTACCCACTGGTGGAATATATCTAGACTGTAAGTTTACGTTATCTCTCTAATAAACTGTGTGTTGAACAAACAATGAAAATTATTCATTTTAAATTTGATACATACAAGAACTAAAAACTTACTTATAATGATGCAATATTTCCGATTTTTTAATGAACTTCTCAAAGCAAATGCAGCACTGGTAGCTATCCTGAGGTTCCTCCTCTTTTTTAATTTTCCTATTTGATTTACTTGTGACATTAGTTTTATTACTTTCATTAATTACCAACTTGATTTCCTTTTCTTTATTCACTTCTTTATTTCCATTTCTTGTGTTTCGCACATTAATAACTGTACCTGGTAATGAATTTATTAGCATCTCTAAATCTTTTAATTTGCCCTTCTTTTTCCTACCCCTTTTGTTCTCTTGTACCTCACCATTTTTAGTACTGTCATTATCACTTTCTTTTACTTTAATTTCTTTGAGGCTCAGTAGGGATAAATCATCACTGTCATCTGAATATATACCATTTGTGACTTCATAATCATCATTATCTGATAGATCATTTTCTGTTTTTACAGCAACTGCTGGCGAAGAGGTTTTAGGATCAATTTTCTCCTCTTTTATTTTCACAGTGGCTTGTGAATTGTCAACTGCCTCATTACAATCTGTCTGTGCATCTGTCTGAGTTCCCTGCTCATGGACCACAGTAAAGTTTGCAGAGGAGAGTGCATGTGAGTTTTCTTTTATTGTTTGATTGACTGATTCAAGCAGCGGGACACCAGATGCTACTAAAATAGCTCGCAACCTGAAATTTTTAAGTTGAAATATGTTAACCAGTTTTATAACATACCAAGCCAACAATCCACCTTATAGTAAGGGGCTACTGAATCTGAATGACAGAATTAGAAATTATGTGATAGAAGAAGAGTGTGGATTACAAGATGATGTTGTGACTAGGACTAAGAAAGGAATGCTTCGGTGATTTGGTCATGTAAATAGAATGAATGAGGAAAGAATGACAAAGCAAATTTATGTTGCAGAGGTGAACGGCAGAGTCGGGGACGCCCTAAGCGAAAGTTTATCGACCAAATCGGCGATATATTGAAAATGGGCCAAATTAAGAGTACAGTTACGTGGTAGGGCCATGCTGCAACTATATTTCTGGTATAGTTGTAACACGAATGGGTCAGCTGGACCGGGGAAGGACCACGCTCTCACAGAATACCAGCGTAAAATAGCAGCTTAATGCTGCTGTGTTTTGTATGGTTAGTGTAGAGACCCGGAGACCCTTTTTACTAGAAACGAGGCATTCCATCTTAGTCCTCACGGGTGACAACACATCTACCTTTTGATATTCGTAATCGAGGATAAATGTAGATGTCTATGGGCCACAGCAACCACTTACCATCAGGTGGACTGTGTGCTCGTTTGTCGCCCTTATCCTATAAAAAAAAACCTTAACCGACGAGCATGTATGCATAGGTACATGGATGTGCAGGAGGCGAGAGGTGTGTCAAGATCATTTCAAATGGAAGTCCATAGTCTCTGCCTACCCCTCTGGGTAACAGGCGTGATTATTTATGTATGTATGTTATGTAAATTAATATAAGTATTATATATATTTTTATGAGTAAATAAATATGAAATGTAACTTGAACTTGAAATGACTATAAGTTATTGTTATTTAAAGGACAATGTCCAAAATCGCCCTGTCTAATAAAAACATCGGACATACACGATAATTAATTGTCTATTTTATTATATTGGTTGCAAATATTTTTATAACACGGACTAGCTGCGTGCAAAACTTTACATTAAAAAGTATTGTACTCTACTAATAACGTTAATCGCCGCCATCTTCGTCAAACATCATGTGTTGCAAAAGATGATTAGGGATGCCCAATTGCTTGTAATCGATTTTTGAATATTTAGTTGCATATTTTATAATCTGATTTAAATTTTGAATTTATTTCGAATGAAATTGCAAAAATAAACTACAATAAAAATATTAAATTACCATTACGTTAAATTTTTTTATATTATTCCCTAAACGTATAATTTAAAAAACCTACTTTACCTAACGAATGACGTCATACTCGATTTTGAATAAGTAGTTAGAATAATGCTGAAGAAAAATATTCGTAAAGATGATTATTCATGATTTTCTAATGATCGTTTAGAAAGGAGTGTATTTTACGTCTTTCTAAACGATAACTTACGAGTTTACGACAATTAATATTTAAAAAAAAAACACTTATCGTAACTGCATTAATTATGTGTTCTTTAAAAAGATCAATATTGCAAACTAGATACAGATATTATTATTAATATTGTTACAAGTATGGAAGAAGTAAAGACGTACGTGTTATTATAATTAATGTAGGATATTGTCATGATGTATGTAATACTGTTTGTAACATATGGCTATAATAAATCTTAGAATATATTCATAAATCGTATTGTATTTGGCGGTCCTATTTTTTTTATTATATTTTTTATATTATGTCACTAAATGGTCACTTGTCACTTGTCAGTCTCGCATGAAAAAAATACGATCTCCAAATCGATTGAAATTGAACATACTCGAGTCGATTCTCGATTAAATCAAGCATTAACAGATCTATTTTCGATCAATCGCGACATTTTCAAACATGCCTAATATAGACACAGAACATTATTGACGATAATTTACCGTAAATATAGGTAATTGTATAGATACATTATTAAATTAATAAACATAACATTACGCTTGTATTTCGCAGGAGTAGGTAGAGGTGTGTAGTACTGTTATGTTATACGTCCCATGTAATACGGGGTGCGCGTATTGCCAAACACTGGGCACAAATCCAGACTCCGTGCTACTACTGGGCATTTCAAGTTATAAAAACCCAATAATAATTTGCCCTACCCTGGGGTCGAATCCAGAATAGAACATTGTTTCTGTCTGTCCCAAGGAACAGATGTTCCAACTATGCAAAAGTATTTCTTGAATTGTTTGAGATATAGCTAGATCTTGATTTAATCCGATTCAAGAGTTTTTGGATCGCCTCATTTAATCGATGGAGTGTTCTAAGTCGATATCAGGACATCGGACAAGGATTTTTCAGATCTATATATAAATATCTAAATCTATATATATAAAATCGATTATTTTACTATAAACAGTCGATTAAATGATTTCAAATCGTTATGCCTACTTTGTACTGTCACTGTCATCTCTCACTTTGTCAAAATTACATTGGTTGGCGTCGTTTGCTCTTTGTAATTGTATCGGTGTTTTGGTGACTTTCGGAACTATATAATGAAAATTAGGACTTGGCTATTTTAACGGACTCTGATTGCTTTCAAGAACGACTTACCTTGTTGTGATTTTCGGAACTGTGTACTGCTCAAACGATAACCTAGTATTCATAAACGGACTTACGCATACGCAATGGAAAAAGTATTTTGTGTAAATTGCGACTCTGTTGGTGGTTCAATGTTGTTGAAAAATGAATGGAGAAGAAATCGTGCAATATTGCTGTAATTGCATCGTTGTACGCAGAACCATCTGTTGCTGCGCCCATGTTATGACCATTATTTGGTACTTGAAAAGCTCAGCGAGACATCAAAATAATATCGACATCCCTGCAAAATTTTTAGGCAATATTTTAATTTCCAATTTAGAAGATGAACAATAAACATGACATTAATCTGTGTTTTATTTTTAATTCAAACATAATAAGTTAATGTAGGTGTAAAAACAACTTATACTACCAATTAGGTACTAAGTTTGTAAGGCTGGTTTCATAGTGACACGTTTGAACAGCGCCATCCAGACGCACACGCTTGGAAATGCACTAGATAGTAGTCGATAATATTCCCGCTGTTCAAGCGTGCACTGTTGAAACTTGGTTGAAACCGTGGTTGATACGCTGGCTGTACGACGGCATGTCTAGCGGTCTGAATAAAACCATCCTTATACATTTAGATACTAGGCATCTTACTGTACCGTATATGCTAATGACAACTTCTAAATGCTAACAACCATTATATATGTACATACATTTTTAATTTTACATTAATACACAAACATTATCTCTCATTTCAAAACCAATGCTATGAAAGCAGGTTTGTTAACTAGATTCTATGCATTTATACGTTGCACTTACACTTATGCTTTAGAACAAAAACTGCATACCTAATTATCTAGATAGGCACTAAAAATAGCTAAATGTTTTAGGACATCGTTTTTCAGTTAGTTAAAAATCACTCGGAGCTATGAAATACCGTAATATTCGTGGTTCGATTATAACCTCAAAATCTGATACTTTTTTGAAATATATCTATTATGCAGCTAGTCCGCTATAAAAATAAGATCATATAGGAATTTACTAATGATCGACAATAAAACACATAATTTTCCGATGCTCTTGGGACCAGGGCGAACAATGTATGGGCGCAGAGCAATGTCCTTTTGGATATCCACAGAATTGCAATTCATCTGCAACCCTCCTGACGTTGCAGTTGTTCATGTGCTGCGATAGTCACTTACCATCAAGTGAGCCACATGTTTGTTAGGTCTTATATATAAAAAAAAAAGAATTACTTCTCCAGTAAGAGAAACTACATTTAGAAAACTTAAAAGATAAAGCAATTTCATTTCAAATTTTTATGAAATTTGGCATTTTTTTTTTTCTATTATCATAATCAAATAACAAATACTTAAAATTCAGAGATGATATTTTATGGAATGGAATGAATGAAACAATACAGAGTTAATTTTATTAATTATAAGATTCCTAGTATATGGTAGCAGTCAGTGATCTTCTCTATTAAAATTTGGATGTTTTTTTATGTCTATAGCCTCGCACACCCAGTGCGTGTTGCCAGTGATGACATACGGAACTGAGACGTGGTCCTTCACTGCTGGCCGGATGAGGAAGCTCAAGGTCGCTCAGCGGGCTATGGAGAGGGCTATGCTCGGAGTTTCTCTGCGTGATAAACTCAGAAATGAGGATATCCGCAGTAGAACTAGAGTGACCGACATAGCCCAACGGATTAGTAAGCTGAAGTGGCAGTGGGCCGGCCATATAGCTCGAAGAACCGACAACCGATGGGGAAGAAGGGTTCTCGAGTGGCAGCCTCGTACTGGCAGGCGAAGTGTAGGGCGTCCCCCCACTAGATGGAGTGACGACCTGGTAAGATATGCAGGAAGTCGATGGATGCAGGTGGCTCAGGACCGTGCTTTGTGGCATTCTTTGGGGGAGGCCTATGTTCAGCAGTGGACTTGTGAAGGGCTGTAATGATGATGATAGCCTCGCAAATCACCCTTAATAGGAACTGGTTATCTTTTGCAAGGATTTGTGGTCTATAAAAAAAATAATGGCAGTAACGATCTTAAGTATGTTCAATCCATATAATTAGTGTTTTTCAATGTATTTATTGTGTAGAACAGAAGTATGTAGAAGTATTACAAACTACTAATCTAATTAAACATATAATATGACATTGTATAGTCACAGGAAATTTGTCTATGTGTAAAACCATTGAAACAAGGTCTGTTTTTCTAAAGATGACTATTGGCATGGCATTTTATGACCTAAATTGTAAAATCTCTGGGAGAAACATTTAAAGTACTTTTACATAAAACTACTTATGTTTTATATAAAAGTACTTACTGTGTGCCTTAATAAATAAATGCAACTAATAGTGCTAAATACTAAAAATAAACATGTGCTTGTGATGTTACTCAACTCCATAGGATTAGTAGGTAATTAATTCACAGCAAAAACTTTTATGACAAATTTACAACAGCTATTAAAAATAAATTGTGAAACAACAACTATAAAAAAAGGAGTACATACTGTATTGTATAAAGGACACATGAATGATAATAACCTCTGGAAATGAGGTGATCATTACCAAGTAGTTTCTAAAGTAAATCTTATTTTATTTAAACAAAATTGAAGTTTTAAATTGAAAAAAAAAAATCAAGCTTGGTTTTTGCTTGTTCTTCCCAAAAGGTATTTTGTGAACTAATGATAAAATAAATTTAAAATTACTTTCAATAAATATTAAGACTAGAAAAATTACCAAAAATGCATGTAGCATTATACAAGGAATGCATTGTAAATTGATCCTACCTGGCCTGTGCCTCAATCGCCTCGTTACAAAATTGGTATAAGTCATTCACTTTGCAACTGCATTTATTACAAATCTTCTGTGGAAGCCGATCATTCTTCAATACCTGGCGACACCAAACAATCTTAAATACATGCATTTACATTCAAATAAAATCTATTATATTTACTGTACCTTAATCGGTAAATATAGTGACATTTTTAGAAATAGCGCGTTTGCTTCATCAAATATATGATTGTTTACGAACTTTGTAGAGCAGCATAGTCGACAAATAGTATCCATTTTTCAGTCAATAAATATTTATTAAGTTTGCGGTCCACGATGTTTATACACTTTCATGAAGATAGTGACATACAGTCAGTTCAGCCATTTGTCAATATTGACCATAAGGATAATGTATTGCCAGCCTTTACGTAGTTATTATGAAAGACCTAAAACAAATTATACATATTCTATATATAGGTATTAGGAATAGACAAGAACAAGCTAGAGGGTGGGCGGTGGTGAAGGCGGGCGAGGCAAGACTGCGCCAAACTTTTGATTAATGAACACAACATTTGTAAAGTAAACTTACTTTTGATAAAATTGCAAATATTCAAAACAATATAAACTTTCCCTTTGAGACAGTTTCTTCGTTAAATATGTGTTGTTATTTTTAACCACTTTTTTATGAATAGACTCTCTCTCTCTCTCACTCACTCACACACACAAACACACACATACACATACACACACATACACACACATCAAACACACGAGCGTGCGTGCACGCGCGCGCGCATACACGCTCAAACACACACCCACACACCCACGCAAGTGTGCAAATGCACGTACGCACGCAAGCACGCATAGTCGCAAGCACAAACGCGAACGCATGCACGCGCACTTAGGTTGCACCTTTGATTTATTACATAGCCTGACTGGACATACAAACATTGCTTTACCGCTATCTAGTGGAGGTTACGAATTTTCCTAGTAGTTATCACAATTATATAAAAATTGTTGCCAAACCCGTGATATCAGAGGTTAAGCCACAGACTAATAGAATACTACATGAGCAACTCCAGTTCGATCCCCGCCGGCACCAATGAAATTACTCATTGCAAATTTAAGTGCTGATTTAATACGAGCATGGCGATGAACAGAAGCTTTTTAAAGTAACCTGCATTCCATTACCATTACAGTCTATCAAAAGTCTATCGCTGAATCTAGGCCTCCTCTAGAGATTACCTCATAGGTACATATGTAGTAGTATTGCCATAGTTGTCACGCATTTGTTATAAGAATTTGCTACTACCGATCTCCTGATTCAGTTTCCCCCTGTCCCCCCTTACTACACAGGGTGATATGGGGTAGTTAATATTCTTACACTACCACTACACAAACCTGCATGTCTGAAGAATAAAATATTTCAAGTACATGTAAAACCCGCTAACACACACTAGAGCAACGCGCTGGACAAATCACATCATAGCCACATTGGGACGTGTACCTTAGTGATGTAACTGAATTTTTTATCATAGTTGACTTTGACAAAACCGGAGAGACGAAATTGCACATCGAACGAGCCCCTTAGGCTCCATGCGAACGACCTTGAGCATTCGGCCGGTGCGCCGACTCGCTACAATATATCGCGTAAGAAATATGCAAGACGCCACCTACTGTACGAACGTAGTATTATTTTTTCAACATCAATAAACTATTTTAGGGAAATACACACGGCGTACAATGATAAATGTATTTTAATTTTTTTATTCGGTTTATTAGTTGCATTATATTAGAATTATGTATTCTCATATATTATCTAATTATGAATGTTATAAAAAATTTAGAAGTGATATTAATGGCTGTACATGTTACATGATTCGCCTACTATATCACACTCGTGATGGGCTATAGGAAGCTAGAAGCCCGTCACAAGTCCTCTGCGGAATATAGGCCTCTCCATTGATTCACTCAAAGTACGGTCCCGAGCCACCTGCATCTATCGTACCTTCGGTTTCAACATGTCGTAACTCCATCCAGTGGAATACACCCTAAACTGCACTTGTCAGTACACTAGGCTGTCATATGAGAACATTTCTTCCACATGGGCTGGCGGTTCTTTGAGCTATATGGCCACTTCAGCTTACTGATCAACTGGACAGTGTCAGATCTTCTTATTCTTCTGCGGATATCCACGTTACGGTTTTCATCACACAAAGAAATTCCAGAAATAGACTTAATTTCTTCATAAGCCCAGCAATGAAGAACCCAGTTTCAGTTCAGTAAGTAATCACTGGCAAAACGCACTGGTTGTATGTACACTGTCGTCTTAAGACTCTTAAAAAAATAGAAATATCAGGAAAAGGATTTATAGCAGTATTCTGAGCGCAGCACTGGCGATTTGAATAGAATAGAATAATTTTTATTCAATTAAAATTATTATAATTATTGTCGACGCCAGATAGTCGACAGTCGACCCTATTGCGTTTATTATAAGGCGCTTAATATTATGTTTATTGTATAGAGCCATACATTATCGTACATTCAACCAATCACACAGCACAAATACTCGCCAGTCATTCCCCACACCCGACACTCATAATCACTCATTTTTATTTCTAACCAAACAAGACACAAGCACAACACCAAGAATAATATAATTGTAAATCTATAAATTCAGACGAATAAATCTTTTAGAAGATCTACGATTTCTTTCTTTTGTTCATCGCGAACAATTATTAATTTAATATTATTAAAGAAAGAAAGAAGAAGAAAGAACTATTTATTTGATATACACATTTTACACACATTAAAAAAATATTATAAACAAAAGCAAGGGGGAAAAGAATGCATGTACCAGTCTAACACTGTTTACGCATTTACAATTGAGAAGCAGTACATACACAATAATAAAACAAACAAACAAAAAGGTAAAACCGAAAAAAATCAATATGAAAATGTGACATCAAATAGGTTTCCAACTCAGCATAATGCTGCAAATACAGCGCTGGTTTTCAGTTGGAGCCTTGTGACTTCACAGACAAGTCGGTGTGTGATCTTCCAACTAAGAGTTATATACGAGTTCATAGTTATCTATTAACAATTACGAGTTAAAAGGTAGTGCTAACATATTATATAACGTATACACACATGTACTGAGACTAAACCTAGGTAACAGGTGTGTTATATTACTATACATTTAAATAATACCTACTTACATACTTATACATACAATATTAACATGATATTTGACTATTCTGACTATTCTATGGGGAAGACATCTTTTACTTTTTTCATAAAATTAGATAAATAAATAAATAAATAAATTTTATTTCGTTTTTAAAAAGTAAATACCTTAAAAACTAGTAGATTGGAACCTCCATTTAAGCAAAAAATGCCTGTGTTTGGAGGGTCCGCCCTTCCATTACTATATCCATGTTACAAGGCAGTATGGATAAACATATTCTATATCCAGATTAATGTTATATATTACTTAAATTCTATATTAATTCTATTACTTATGTATGTATGTGTGTGTGTGTGTGTGTGTGTGTGTGTGTGTGATAATTCAATATTCTGAGTCAAAGAGACACGTCATGTTACGAGACCTGCTGTGGATTTTTAAAACAAAAAAAAATATTATTATTAGTTATATTAATTATTAATATATTTAAAAAATATTATGGTGCCGCAGAGCCGTTCTAATCTCGCTCAGACTGAAGTCCGGGATGATGAGACTTGCTCTTGGATCATTAATCACACTTGTGTTTGATTCCAACGATGATGTGTACGGCTGTCCGTAGAACCACTTAAACCCACTCAAAATTTTAGGTGTTTTTGAAACGTGAAGACCGACTTTGACAGCATCATTTCCGACAGTGACAGCTGGCTCTTTCCACAGACAAATCTCTGAGACTTCTCTTGGTTTTGATCCTTCGGTACACTATTTCTTGACATTGAATAATATATGGAAATTACTTTACTTACCTATACTTTTTACTTTTATTAATATTATAAAGAAGAAAGATTTGTTTGTTTGTTTGTTTGAATTGAATAGGCTCCGAAACTACTGAACCGATTTGAAAAATTCTTTCACCATTAGAATCCTACATTATCCCTAATGAACATAGGCTATATAATATTTAAAAAAAAGTTAGGGATCCGTATGAAAACTTCGTTAATGTAGCCCAAGGTGTGTAAACAATACCAAAAAGAATCCTTATATCGCGTACGCTGCGGAAACTATTGATAATAGAGCAAAGTAATGTATTTCAGTTTTATAGAGGACATCAATATCTACAAAAAAGCCTGCGATACCATATGTTTAACTATTACAGTTATGTCACAATAACTACTTTTTCATGTTAAAATATGAAATAGTAACACCGGTACAAACTAGGCCACATTATTCGTATCAGTACCTGTAACATGCATAACCACCAATAACGTTAACCATGTAATTTTACATATTTCACTTTTTAAACCTTCGTTAATTCAGCAACCGTCCGTCGTGATGTCTCTCTCGAAGTTCGCATGTCGTAAGGCGTAGACGCGTGATATACGCGGGTGAAACCGCGGGGCACAGCTAGTTTAGTTTTAAGTCGGTTCGAACTTTTTATTAAAAGTAATGATCGTAACCCTGCTGCATTTATCCTTATTTTTCCTAGTATTATGAAAAGTGGAAGCGCTTGACAGTGAATTTCCCAGGTGTTGCAGTTTTTCATGGGCAGTGGTAAGTGACTACACTTACCAACAGGTGATTCGCATGCTTGTTTACTATATTTGTATAGTAAATATTATTGTCTATTATATGTTTTGTATATTATTAGGGTTCCGTACCTCAAAAGGAAAAAACGGAACTCTTGTAGGATCACTTTGTTGTCCGTCTGTCTGTCTGTCTGTCTGTCTGTCAAGACCCTTTTTCTCAGGAACGGGTGGAGGTATCAAGCTGAAATTCATATCAAATACTCAAGTCTACTGTCCCTTAGAGCTGTGAAAAAAACTTCTAAGCCAACGCAATCAAAAGATACAGCCGTTTATGCTGGAAATTTTCGACATTTGCAAGGGACTCAAAACCTACAGGGTACTTCCCGTGCACTCAAAATCTTGAAATTCGGTACGAAGCAACGTTTTATAGCACAGATAAAGGGAAAATTGCGAAATTATGCTTTTCTTTTTTTTTAGTTACATCATATAATAAAAATATTTTTAATAATTTTAAATTTGTATACCTACGGATTTGTTCGGAACCCTCGGTGCACGAGTCCAACTCGCACTTGGCCGGTTTTATATGTCTA